TAGTTACTATTAATGAGCATTTCATAGTTAATGAGCATTTTTTATAAATTAATATATAGTTACTATTAAAATTACAAATTAATACTCCGTATCAATTAGTAAAGTTAATATTAATCATTGTATGATATAAAAACGAAAACTGAATGAATGTTAACAATCACCAATCGGTTGAGATGCCATATGGTCTGCATGTGTTAGAGAGTAGCCTGGGTTCGAATCCCCCTGGCTTCATCATTTTTAATGTAGCATGGGAATAACTATTGGGCTTTGAGTAGGTTATAATAGTAGGAGGACTATTAAAAATTGGGCCTTCTGGATATATGGGCCCTGTGCGGTCGCACATGTGGCACTTGCCTTGGGCCGGCCCTGCCGGACTCGAAAGGATCAGTCCGATGTCAATCCAGTCAATGTGTATCAAAAAAAGAAGATATTAAAAAATAACTCTCATTCAAAAATTTATCAATGGTTATAAGAATAAATTAAAAATTAATGTATCAGTTTATAAAATAGTCATAAATTTAAGATGTGTTTGTAATTAATGGATAATAATTTATAAATAAAATTGATAAACGTAATGAGCATTTCATAAATATCATTTAGTTACTATTAATGAGCATTTCATAGTTAATGAGCATTTTTTATAAATTAATATATAGTTACTATTAAAATTACAAATTAATACTCCGTATCAATTAGTAAAGTTAATATTAATCATTGTATGATATAAAAACGAAAACTGAATGAATGTTAACAATCACCAATCGGTTGAGATGCCATATGGTCTGCATGTGTTAGAGAGTAGCCTGGGTTCGAATCCCTCTGGCTTCATCATTTTTAATGTAGCATGGGAATAACTATTGGGCTTTGAGTAGGTTATAATAGTAGGAGGACTATTAAAAATTGGGCCTTCTGGATATATGGGCCCTGTGCGGTCGCACATGTGGCACTTGCCTTGGGCCGGCCCTGAATACTAGTGAAAACAATAGTTATTATTAGCATAGCTATTATCATCATTGAGTACTTAATTATTACAGTTTATATATAATTAGTTATTGTTAAAATACTTGGCTCGTACTATCTAGTACTACGTACTCAGGGCCGGTCCCGAGAAAACACAGGCCCTGTGCAAAAATAAAATGTGGGCCTTTTTTAAAAGAGGTAAAAATATAATATAACTAAATTTTATATTTGTAACAATTTGCTACAATAATAATTTAGATCAAAATATAAGTTATTCACTAACATAATAGTTAAAATAAAAGTATATTCCTTAACAAAGTACACTTCATTTATTTGTTAAAGCGAATTGTAAAATAATAGACTAATAACCTAATACTTGAACTTGGTGATTCGCCAAGTTCAATTATTACAAAACCATCCAAAAATAATTACCTATGTACTAAAGCATTCAAACTTGGAATCAAAACCGAAAAAAGAACAATATAAATTACAAAATATAAGAAATAAGATTATTACTCCGCATTCTATAAAACCAAAGAGAATAATCAAATCTAAAATTAGACCGTTTATCATTCCATTAATTGGAGAAAAGGGCATATCACATGGGTGTGTGGGGCTGAATCTTGGGGAAGAGCTTCAAGCTTCGAATTGGAAACACGCAAATACACTATGTTGTTAAAACCAGATATTGAGACAATTCAACCCGGACAAGCAATCAATACCGGACTCGAAAGGATCAGTCCGATGTCAATCCAGTCAATGTGTATCAAAAAAAGAAGATATTAAAAAATAACTCTCATTCAAAAATTTATCAATGGTTATAAGAATAAATTAAAAATTAATGTATCAGTTTATAAAATAGTCATAAATTTAAGATGTGTTTGTAATTAATGGATAATAATTTATAAATAAAATTGATAAACGTAATGAGCATTTCATAAATATCATTTAGTTACTATTAATGAGCATTTCATAGTTAATGAGCATTTTTTATAAATTAATATATAGTTACTATTAAAATTACAAATTAATACTCCGTATCAATTAGTAAAGTTAATATTAATCATTGTATGATATAAAAACGAAAACTGAATGAATGTTAACAATCACCAATCGGTTGAGATGCCATATGGTCTGCATGTGTTAGAGAGTAGCCTGGGTTCGAATCCCCCTGGCTTCATCATTTTTAATGTAGCATGGGAATAACTATTGGGCTTTGAGTAGGTTATAATAGTAGGAGGACTATTAAAAATTGGGCCTTCTGGATATATGGGCCCTGTGCGGTCGCACATGTGGCACTTGCCTTGGGCCGGCCCTGTACGTACTTCGTATCTAGTTGCTTATTAATAATACTCCGTAGTAATTAGTTATGCTGATAAAAAGATTGGAACTCTTTTATTTGAATAATTTTTTTGCTCATTACTTATTCTATTTAGAACACATTAATTAAGTTATTAACTCGACAAAAAGTTGAAATCTTGAAAATATAAAATGGTCTGTCAAGCATGGTGAAGTGTGTGGGACAGTTTACGGATAATAGATTTTGCACATCATTTGAATTTTTTTTTAATTTTGTGCTCCAACACATAATATCTAGTGAATAAATATTTTTGAATGAGGTGTGAAGTCAAAGAATCTTTAAGTACAATGAAGCGAAAAGTCCATTTTTAAAAAATGATCTGAGTTGCAAAGCCAAATATCACCTAATTCGTTATTCCAATTCACCCAAATATTCTGTTGAGAACCAAGAATATGCCTACCTAGAGCTCTAGTTCGAATTTAAATGATCTAGCTGAACTTTCGGGCCTTTTTAAAAGCTTTTTGTAGTTGTGTGGATTTAAATTTAGGTGGAGGTAATCTTGTAAATGGAAATGTTTTATTTTATTTTATTTGTCAATTTCTTTAAAATGAGACAAGTAATAAAGTATAGTCCCAAAAAAGTGTGACACGTAAATTTGAACATAGCTACATATATATCACTAAAATGCAGTTATATGAAAAGTGTAGGACGGTCATTTTTATATAAAAGTGTAATAATACGGAGTATGAGATAATGAGATATAATCCTAATTTTTTAGACTAAAATCCATATATGAGAAGAGATGTTATACACTCAGATTGCTTTCTTGAATCGGTTTATTATGATAAATTGATGAACAAGTTATTTATGTTGTAGTAATAATTAAAATAAAAATTGTACCCTAGATATAATTTATAAAAATGAAATTGCATGCAGTCAATATAAGTAAAACATTATGGAATTCTTACATCAAGCACCAATTTTGTATTCCTTAAATTGAATTAATCAATACCATGCTTTATTATTTTGACAGTAATGTTGTCATACTTGAATTTTAACAATGCAATGATGTGATAGTAAAATTTCAGGATAACATAGTAAATACTCCAATTTTCTATTCTTACGTTGTTTTACATTTTTTTTTGAAAAACTTTCCATTTGAAAATGATTAGACTTACTCCATTTTATAATAAATGACTAAATGAGAGATTAATCTTAGAATGTTTTCATTCGAACTAGGAATAGACTAATATTTCTGTAGAATTGTAGAGACTTAAACTGTACCAAACTTAAACAAATGATCACAATCCAACTAAAATATGGAGTAAGAGCAAACCAAACCAACCAATTTAAATCAAACAAATAACCTCGGATCCAAATGAAAAGGGCTTCATATGCATTTGATTTTTGCGTCTATTTGTTACTCTTAATTTTCTTCTCAATTTTGATATCAAATACGTAACTAATTTATATTGACACATTATATTGTATATTAATTGAAATACGAGAGGATGATATTACTTTGATCGAATGTTTTGCATATAACCATTTTTGCTACTTTTTTTTTACATAAACTATTTATTGCTATATAAATAAAATTATTTAAAAGATTATTTTTTATTGCTTCAACGGATTCAATCAATTCAATTTTTTAATCAATACTCTCTCCGTTCCATTGGATTTTGCCAACTTTCCTTTTTCTGTTGTCCCAAAAAACTTTACCATTTTCTTATTAAGCAACTAATTTGGAGTTCTGCACATTTCTCTCTCCTCTGCACAAATCTCAATTACACATTTTTTACTATTATTATATTTCACCTACTTTGCACTTGACAAAGTCCACCAAAACTAATGATAAAAAAAAAGTCCACCAAAACTAAATTAGTACTACGTATTTTATATCAATCCATCGCATTTGAGTACTATGAAGCTCTCGACACTATAATAAAATCTGAACCAAGTAGCACAACTAGTTTGTATCATCCTATGTTTCTCTTTTATTGCAACATGAAAAATTAATAATCACTATCACATATTCTAGTTTGATTACATGCTACTCCCTCTGTCCCATTAAGATTGGCAGATTTTACCTTTTCGGGAAATTCCACTAAAATTGTCTCATATCATATTTGGTAAAGTTTGTATGTCTCTAAATCATTCTTACTTTATTTTTACTTTATCAATTTAATATCAACCACATAAACTTATTTTTCTTAATAACCATGTCACATTCTTCCGTCCCAATGTTAGTGGGACGGAGGTAATATCTTTTATTGTATGAAAATTATTTTGTGAAAATTGTTGTTGATTCATTTCATTGCAAAAATTCATTATCTCATTTTTGAATATTTTTTATTAATATAGAATTAAATATAATAAAAATTAAAGTTGTCATTTGCAAGCTTAAAAATGTGATGGTTTTAATTAAAAAAGCAAGTGAGGAATTTATAAATAGGAGTACCACGTACTCCGTAAATGATACTTCCTCCCTCCTCTAAGTTTGTCTCGTTTTATCTTTTTCGTCCGTCCTACTAAGTTTGTCTCATATCATATTTGGTAATATTTGAGTGGTTAGAATTCATTCTTACTGTATTCATATTTTATCAATTCAATATCAACTACACAATTCTACTTTTTCTTAAAAGCCACATCACATCCCTTTGTTCCAAACTTAGAGGGACGGAGGTACTAAGTGACATGTCTTGTAATCTCCACTTCCACTGATAAATACCCACCACCATTTCTCCTGACCACTCATTCTCACCCTTCTTTTCCTTGTCCTCTGCTTTATTTATTATTATCCCCATACTTATTTTAAAAATTAAAATACTTCATTAATTATTATTGCTCGGATATTTAGCCATGGCTAAGGAAGTTGAAGCCGTGCCGGAGCAGCCAGCCGGATTCTCCGCAAAGGACTACCATGACCCGCCGCCGACTCCACTGATCGACTTAGACGAGCTGACCAAGTGGTCCTTTTACAGAGCCATCATCGCCGAGTTCATCGCCACGCTCCTCTTCCTCTACGTCACCGTCTTAACCGTCATCGGCCACAGCCGGAGCATCGACATCAATGCCGGCGGCGAAGAGTGCGGCGGCGTTGGAACACTCGGCATCGCCTGGGCCTTTGGTGGCATGATCTTCATCCTCGTCTACTGCACCGCCGGAATTTCAGGTCAAATTTCACACACAACTCCATAATCAGTAATCACTTCATATTATAGAAATTGAGGGGCAAATAAGGCTAAAACATTTTGGAGTATCTATATTTTATTCTAAAAAAGGACTGGACTGGTTGAATTGGATACTATTTAAAGCACATTTTTTTCAATTATACTAGTATGATTTTGTGCACCCTATTTGTGTTAAAAAACATTTTATCTATATTTTACTTTCCAATTGAGGAATTTTCTCTCTATATTAAGGTTATACAGAGTACGATTCTCTTAGCTACTTGAATTTGGTATGGTAAAAATATTATATTTGGTCAGGTTTTAAGATACCCTTGAGATTATTGTTTGTTACAGCATAATAGTCTTGAAGTTTGTGTCATCTTTTACATTGCTGTATGAAGACTATCAGTATTTGTATATAGGAATTAGGATGTTTTCTTGTGGACTGAAATTTGCTGGTCTGGTCTGGTAAACGTTTGGTCTCTGTGTATTTTATAACTACGGAAGTCTGATCTGGTCTGGTCTGCTTAAGTCTAGTCTGGTCTGATATGGTCTGTTTAAGTCTGGTCTGGTATGAGACTGAAAACAAAACATCCTTTGAATTACACCGCACTACGTATTACTCTTAATATTTTTTTTGGATGAGTATTACTCTTAATATAAGTAGCCCTATTTTAATAGGGAGTATGAAGTTATACTCCCTCCGTATCTTTAAAATCTTCACATTTGAAAAGTAGGTAGATTAAGAATAGTGAAAGAGAATATGAATTATTGAGGGTATGATAGGAAGATAGTTGAATAAGGTGATGGAATGTAGGATAAATCCAAAAAAAGTAGTTGTAATAGTGTATTATTTTCAGAATTATTGAGGGTATGATGGGAAGATTTAGAAATGAGAAGTTTTTTTTGTTACGGACGAAAAAGGAAAGTGGGAAGATTTTAAAGTTACGGAGGGAGTATTAAAGATGTGTATAGAAACATTCCAAAATAGACCCTCATAGTACTGGTGTTCCTCGAGGACTTTTATTGAGATTAAGACAACACTAAAATATCAGTAAATAGCTTCTAAAAATAGTAAACAATAAGATGAAGAAATTTGAGTGTCATATGAGGAAATAATGTGAGTAAATTTCGTAAACTATCAAGAACTTATGAGCCATACCTTTTACTCCGTAGTATACTACTCTAATAATTCTTCTACTTATGAACTTTCGAAAAAATCTTGCAAAAGAGTATTGAGGATTCATAATTGAAGAAACTTAATCGAGGAAAATTCTTATGAGACCGGCCTGACGGGAACCGTCGTCAACTCGAGACCATTTGGGGTCCTTCTTGATAGAATTTTTTGATGAATTTTTTTGAGCATGTTTTTCATCAAGTGTAGATTATCTCCAGAAAATTTCAACTTCTAATTCAACCTGGAAGTCAGTTACATAAAATACTAAAAACATATTGCGCTTTATGTATATAAATAATGAGTAATATATTTCAATATAGTATTTAACTGACTTCCGGATTGAACTTGTAATTGAAATTTGCTTGTCATAAATTTCAGTTGATACAGAATATGCTCGAAAAAATTCATCAAAAAGTTCAATGGAAAGTTTATTTCAACCCCAAATGACCTCGACCTAACAATGGTTTCCATCCGGCCCACCTGATGAGAATGCTACTCAACTTAACTACCTTACTATTTTGAGATGTTTTTTTATTGATTTCTGAGATTCTTAACATGGTGCCAAAATAAACGGAATTGACCACCACACCGCAAAATAATTGCACCCACAGTACTGTGATAACATTGAAGCCATTCTAATGGTACATCGTATCCCTTTCACGGAAAACAAATACTACCTCCGTCCCGTTGGAATGTTCCCACTTTCCCTTTTTGGATGTCCCAATGGAAAGTTCTCATTTTCGTAAATGGAAAGTTATCCCATATTAAAACAGTGTCAAACAGTGCAAAACAGTGTCAAACAGTGTCTAAACAGTGTCCGAACAGTAAAATTTACCCCTGGTAAGTTTATTTCCTTAATATGTGTGTAGGTCAAACCGGGAACATTCCAACGGGACGGAGGGAGTATATGCATGCCAGTTATGCCATCATCATTATTAATAAAAATTGATGTATGCCACATAAAACTAGAGTTGATCAGATTTCGAAAACTGATGTATACCAAATAAAAACATCCTTATTTGTAAAGCAGGGCAATGTAAATAAAATCAACAATGCTTGATGTACCCACTTTTATATCCACTTTATACTCACCATGTTTGTGGAGGTTTTTTTTGTCTGTGAACCGGAATTCACATACAAAAAAACACTTCACAAACATAGGTGGTGTGTACAAAAGTGGATATTAGAGTGGGTACAAATATCATTTTTGAAATAAAATTAGAAGGGGAATGTAAAAACCACATTGGTGAAACAAATTTTACAATTTTGAATGTCCACAACATTATGCATTTTGACTATGTAAAACATAAAATTGTAATGTGAATGATTCTATTTTAATTCCGGTGTAATCACTTTTCGGCTTATCTTAACCCAACTTTCTGGATTCGCCCCGTAAGAATGCTGTGCTGATTGAAACATTCTCGGAACAGGAGGGCACATAAACCCGGCGGTAACATTGGGGCTGTTTTTGGGGAGGAAGGTGTCGCTGATAAGGGCGGTGTTGTACATGGCGGCTCAGTGTTTGGGAGCGATCTGCGGAGTGGGATTGGTGAAGGGCTTCCACAAGGCTTATTACGACCGTTACGGCGGAGGGGCGAATATGTTGCAACCTGGATACAACATAGGTACCGGTTTGGGTGCAGAGATAATTGGTACCTTCGTCTTGGTCTACACTGTCTTCTCTGCCACTGATCCTAAGAGGAATGCCAGAGATTCTCATATTCCCGTAAGTACAAAAACCAATTTATTCGTCCCACCTACTTACCTTTCATTTCTGTCTGTTTTACACTTTTACTTGTATACTCCAGTATTGTTTTTAGATTAGTAATAAGGCTGTTAGAGCCCATCCCAAAATATTAAAGAGAAAATAGCTAAATTTGTTGATATTGATAAAATATTAACAAAAATAGTTACATAAAAGTTGCGTGTTACGTAAAATATTTAGCTGATAAACCAAATTGATGTTACCAAACTACTTTTTCTTGACCTCATTATAACAGCTCAGATTTGAGTACCCAAAAACAAAAACACCAATCATATACGGAGTAGATTCATCACAAATGATAACTCGATGAAGAGTGTATTATTAAATTTTTATTATTACTTTTAGAGAAAACATACATTGGCCGAAACACTTTTTGCTATAATACTTCCACACATCTTTCAAATTAAAGCGTTATATTTGTGTTCATGAAAGCAAAAAGATTCAACTTTACGTCCTTATAAACAATAGGGAAATTGTCCTAAATTGAAATTCTATTTGAAAGTTATGTTTTTTAATCGTTATTGTCACGACACAAAAAATACTAACAGCGATGGCAATAAATATTGTCACAATAACAATAAATATTGTTATGTTACTCAATAAATATTCCTGTTTTGGAATTTAAAATTTTGATTACTTTTGTTTCTAGAACTTAAGAAGTATTGTCACATATTCACAATGGTAACTACTCTGATATAAGTGGAATATGATATACGGAGTAAAAAATATGGGATGCTACATATACACATAATTTGTACATAAAAAATATGTCTAGTATTCTGTGTACATAAGAGCTCCTGAACGAGGTGCGTGTGTACACAAGTAACTAAGGTGTGTACAATAAAAATGTAAAAATTATGTGTACAAATGATTTTTGTCAAGTTTGACCGGCGCGGAGATTAATAAAGTAAAAACTGTGGAGTGAAAGTTTGTGTAAAGGAGAAAGAATTAACTGGAAACACAAATTCTTTACTTGTGGAGAGAGAATTAACTGGAAAGTGGCAAAGTTAGTGGGACATCCAAAAATGAAAAGTTGACAAAGTTTTAAGTGACGAATGGAGTACCATATAATTGACGGCCAAGGATAAAAGTTGTAACTTTTGAAGCACACAATTTTAAGAGTATCTTTTAATTTTCCAACTAGATACGGAGTAAAATATAGAATATTATCCGAAATAAGACTAGAAATGTTTGGAAATTCGAAAATAGGACTGTCATGTTTTTATTTCCAAAATAGGATTAATTACTGTCATGTTTTGGCAGTACCAGACTTCAAGCATGACGGTATTTCCAAAGTTGGCAGTAATTACTCCTATTTTAGGAATAAAAATTATGGCAGTCCTATTTTGGAATTTTCAAACTGTTTTAGTCTTATTTCGGAACTTTCCCTAAAAAAATGTAAAAGTACTGAGACAGAGGGTAATAAACTTTAGTCATACTCCTTATTTTATATAGAGCCCGTTTGGTAGCACCAAAATCGGCTGTTTTGGCTGATTTTGCTGAAATTTATGATATTCTGGCTGGAGTGGCTGTTTTGGCTGATTCTGCTGATTTAAGAAAAAAATATTTTAAAAATATATTTTATTAATAAAATAAAGAAAAAATTATATGTAAAAATAGCTAAAATGGTCCTCTACAGTAACTTCAACCAATACAGCCAGAAAAGTAACTCCAACCTTACTTTTTCGGCTTATTACACAATTCAGCGCGCGAAAGTAAAAGTTACGTGTTTGGTGAAAAAGCTGGCTGATAAGCCTGATAAGCCGAAAACAGAGTTCTCCAAACGGGCTCATAGATTGATAAAGTTTAGCATCATCTAGACATGTGCTTAGGTGGCCTTAGTCAACGCCTAGACCAACGTGCATTCAAGGGGCGTCCCCCAAGGCAAAATAAGGCTGAAATTTTTATGGTTTTTTGAAATTGTGAAGAGTTAATACCCTAAATAGGACTAAAACAATGAAGAAATGCATAAATAGGACTTCCATGTTTCATAGGACTAATAATGTATCGATGGTACAAAATTACCCTTACTAACTTTATGAATCTATTTACAATAAAAAAAATAAAAATAAAAAAGCTATTTAGAACGCTAGGTTCCGCAGCCGCTCCCAACACTCCAAATGCGGCCATCACTTCTGGCGCCTCCACTTCCGTCATCATCGCCGTCACTTCCATCGCCGCCGCCGCCGCCGCCATCACTTCCGGCACCGGCGCCCCCATCACTCCCGACACCGTCGTCACTCCCGGCACCATTGCTGGCCCATCACCGGCGGTTATGAAAATGTCACCTTGCTGCAAAAAAAATTATTGACAACATAAAAACATAAATCTGCCAAAAAGTTGACAAAAATATAAATCCAATATTCCAAATCTGTAAAAATCGGAATTTTTATTGAAATCGGAAATTTTGTAGATGAAAATCTGCCATCTTGTTACCTTAAAAATCAAGCTATATATCAGATTTGCCATAACAGTGGAATAAAAATAAGAATTTTCTGCCATAATATTAAATATTAATATGGCAAATCTACCAAAATACAATCGGCAAATCTGCCATAAAATTGGAAATACATTCAAATTGTTGAAATTCTGCCATGATATCATATAATTGGCAACACTCTCAAATCAATGCCAAACTATAGGTTTTCTGCCATAACATTTTACACGAATCTGCCAAAAATTTGGCAAAATATGAACTCTATCCAAAATCGAGAAAAACATGGTTTTTTTATGAAACAATTTTTTTTATTGAAATCAGAAATATGAACTACGAAATTAATGACCAAAAATCAGAAAAGAGGATGCTAAAACTCCACAAAGTGAATCAAAAAAATCTGCCAAAAAACAACAGAATAAAAACAAAAAATCTGCCAAAAACGGAGAAGGAGGATGAAGAGGAAGAAAAAGAGGAAGAGGAAGAAAAAGAGGAAAAGGAAGGGGAAAACCTGGAAAAGGGGAGTGGCGATGGAGCGTCGAAGAACTACCGACACAGAGAGGCGGTGCGGTGCAGTAAATCGGCGGCGTCTATGGAAAACTAGCGACGACGATGGATAACCGGCCGGCGGCGCTGAAGAGCGGGGGGAGTGTGCTGCGATGGTGATATCAGAGAGAGAGGGGGCGATGAGGCGCAGAGGAAGAAGTGATCGATAGAATTTTAGGGTTTTGGATAGTTATTATATAGGAGGGTATAATGGTAATCCGGAGTCCTATTTAGAGAATAAAAAAGATGTGGTCCTATTTGTGCATTTAAGTTTATTATTAGTCCTATATAGGACAATTACTAAATTGTGAAAGTGGTCTAGAGGTATCAAACGTAGCTGTCCACGTATCAATTGGTCTCTTGTCGCTATTACCCATGCGAATATTTTTTTGAATTAGTGAACCAATAAGGACGTGAACAATAATTAATTAATCAAATAATTATTCTCAATTGGTAGTTGGTATAAGGGCATCACCATCATAAGATTATTAAGTGATTATTCTAGTGACATGGCAGATTATTTGGGAGAGCATGGTTGAGTAAGAGAGATTATTGGACAGAATTAATTGATAGAATAATCCGAGATCAAAATATGAAACCGGATTATTTTGAGATTATCTATGAAATTAGAGTTACTTAGTTGCTACAGGACCCACAAAAGATCAGATTATTTCGGGATGATGGTTGAAGTTAATTCGGAGGGGATGAGATTATTTCCAAAACATTTATGTGGAAAATTTTAAAAGGTAAGAGTCACAAATAATCAGATTATTTTAAAATTATGAATGTGGATGCTCTAAGGAACAAAGAATGTTAATTAATTAATGATGGTGGTGATTAATTAACACTATACATTGCACGCTGAAATTATTGATTGATTGATGAAGGTGTTGGCCCCACTTCCAATTGGGTTCGCGGTGTTTATGGTCCACCTGGCCACGATCCCCATAACCGGAACGGGCATAAACCCGGCAAGGAGTCTTGGAGCAGCAGTGATTTACAACAAAGACAAGGCCTGGGATGACCAGTGGATTTTCTGGGTGGGCCCCTTCGTCGGCGCCGCCGTCGCCGCCATCTACCACCAGTTCATCCTCAGGGCCGCCGCCATCAAGGCTCTCGGCTCCTTTAGGAGCAACGCCTCATAAACGGGCCCATTTATGGATCATTATTATTGTCCCACATTGAATATTTATTTACTGCTTCGTTTGGATGTATTGAAGTGTATTTCCATTTCTGTGTATTATTAATTACTCGATTAACTTATTATCTTATGGTTGGATTTACTTAATCTAGTTGGGGTCTTTTTCGGGTTCGCCTCTTGATTGGGTTGCACTGTTGTATGTGGTGGGTGGGGGCCACTGATGATGAACCATAATTAACTTTGCATTTGTTTTCTAAAACTAGGGGCCTGACCGGGTTCGCCGATAATTGGATACTTGTTCAATATGATGTGGAAATTATCAAATACTCTCCTGCTATGATTCTCCCATTTTACATTTTGGGTCTGTCTCCCTAAGATTGTCTCATACCTTATTTGGTAAAATTTGTGTGATTCTAAATCATTATTACTTTATTCTTACTTCATCAACTCAATATAAATCACATAAATCCACTTTTATTAATAACCGTGTCACCTTCTCTTGTCCCAAACTTAGGGGAACGGAGGTAGTATCAAAGATGCTGTTTGCGAGCCTTTAGCGACAAATCTTAAACTAAGGATATTTTCTTTTGGACTGTTTTGAGTCCCAACCAGACAAGATCAGACCAGACCAGACCAGACTTAAACAGACCAGACCAGACTCTTATAGTTATAAAATACACAGAGACCAGACGTTTACCAGACCAGATCAGACCAGACCAAACCAGCAAATTTCAGTCCAAAAGAAAACATCCTAAGAGTTGGTTTTGGTAATCTTTTCAAAAAAGAATACTACAATACACACCTATAGGCTAAAACAAACATTTATGGAACTTGACCAATTCAGATAAGAGAAGACTATATCAAACCAAGCAGAATAGAATTTTTTAGTCCAATTAAGAAACATCCCTAATGAGATTGAACATACAAGTGCATTTGTCACAGTCTAAATTATTCATAAAAATTCAGTTTTTTTTTTAAAATTCGGTAACTAAATTTGTTACGTACGGAGTAGTATTTAGGTAATACGTGTAAGCACATAATTAATTAAACCGCAAAGGGATTTGAGGCATATTCTAATATTACATTGAGTTTATGAGTCTGTTTGGTAACACTGAAATCGGCTGATTCTGGCTCAAATCTATGAAATTGACAAATTCTGTTGATTTATGAAAAAAATTATTTAAAATATATTTTTATTAATAAAATAAAGAACAAATTACATAAAATATAGCAAAATGATTATCTATAGTAATTTCAGTCAATACTGTCAGAAAAGTAACTCCGGCCTCCATTTTTCCTATTATTACACAATACAGAAAATTAAAAGTTTTTTTTTTGATAAAAAAAGTTACTAATAAAACCAAAGTTTTTGCCACATTAAAATTTGAAACAGCAGTTCTCAATGAGAATACTCCGTTTATCATAATTCAAAAGATGACAAAATAGATTTGTCATCATAGGACAAAAACGTGTTAATTATCACGATTAGGCTAAGATAAACGATAAATTTAAAGCAAGAACACAAGAATTTACGTGGTTCACGCAATCGGTGTGATTACGCTAGTCCACGGCGAACGAGAGAGAGATGTATTATTATTCCAGCGTCTGGTGGTTTACAGATACATTAGGGATGTTTAAATAGGTTTAAGAAAGCCTAAATAAGGGTTAAGGCCGCAGGCCCAAAAATTAATCCCGTCATTAATTTTTCCCGTATACTCGATCGAGTATACATACATACTCGACCGAGTATAGATTCCAGAATTCTGCCCGAGTAGTGTTTTTACACATACTCGACCGAGTATACCTCCATACTCGATCGAGTATAAACTCCAGAATATAACCCGAGTACCCCTTACACGCATACTCGACCGAGTAATGATCAATACTCGATCGAGTGTAGAAACCAGGGAAATACTCGAGCCATCAAACACCTCATACCCGATCGGGTAACCCAACATACCCGATCGGGTATATACTCCTGCATTCCAAACAAGGCTCCATCTTCAACAATCTCCCACTTGGAGGCTTGTTCAACGGTCATCTGCCATCCAAGAACATGTATCCTCTGCAACACCCCTGATCTCTATCTCTCGTTCACACCTTCCCATCAAGTATCTGGAAGGCCAGTTGAAGCCATGCATAGCTTCAACTTCTCCGTTGTCACCACCTTGGTAAGCATGTCTGCTGGATTCTTCGTACCAAGGATCTTCTTCAAGTTTATGATACCGTCTTCAATCAACTCTCGGATAAAATGGTATCGCATCTTGATGTGTTTCGTTCTGCTGTGAAACACTGGATTCTTCGCGAGGTGAATGGCACTCTGGTTGTCACAGTGCAGTCCGCAATCCCCCTGTTCCATGCCCAACTCCGAAAGAAAGTTCTTCAACCAGATCAACTCTTTGGCCGCTTCAGCAATGGCCATATACTCTGCTTCTGTGGTCGAAAGAGCCACACTCTTTTGAAGTCTAGACATCCAACTGATCGGCGTACCTCCAATTGTGAATATGTAACCCGTAGTGCTCTTCCCGGAATCACAACAGCCCCCCAAATCAGCATCAGCAAATCCTTCTAGAATTACTCCATTCCTCCTGAAACAAAGAGCAGTTCCAGAAGTGCCTTTCAAGTAGCGTAGCAGCCACTTGACTCCTTCCCAATGTTCCTTCCCTGGATTCGACATGAACCTGCTAACAACTCCCACTGCATGAGCAATGTCCGGCCTTGTTGACACCATTGCGTACATCAAGCTGCCAACGGCTGATGCATAAGGGACTTTAGCCATCCCATCTTTGTCTTCATTGGTCTTTGGAGACTGCTGCTTGGAGAGTTTCAGCTGACTCCCTAAAGGTGTACTCCTTGGCTTGGCATCCGTCATTCTGAACTTCTCAAGGACTTTCTGAATGTACTTCTGCTGTGAAAGTTTTAAAGTACCTTCCACCTTGTCTCTGACTATGCTCATCCCAAGAATCTGTCTCGCCTCCCCTAAATCCTTCATCTCAAATTCTTCGGACAACTTCTTCTTGAGCTCGTTGATCTCCTGCATGTTTGATCCAGCCACCAACATGTCATCAACATACAAAAGAAGAATAATGTATGATGACTTGAATTTCTTCAAGTAACAGCAATGGTCCATCTTGCATCTAGTGTACCCATTCCGCTGCATGAAACTGTCAAACTTCAAGTACCACTGTCTGGGAGCTTGCTTCAGTCCGTATAGACTTTTCTTGAGTTTGCACACCAACTTTTCCTTACCACTCACTGAGAAACCTATCGGTTGAGCCATGTAAATGTCTTCTTCAAGGTTGCCATGAAGAAAAGCAGTCTTCACATCCAGCTGCTCCAAGTGTAAATTTTCAGCTGCAACGATACCAAGAATCAACCTGATAGTGGTCATCTTCACAACCGGGGAGAAGATTTCATTGTAGTCAACCCCCTTTTTCTGTTGGAACCCCTTGACAACTAGCCTGGCCTTGTATCTTTTGCTTCCATCTGCTTCATCTTTAATTCTGAAAACCCACTTATTCTCCAATGCTTTCTTTCCCGGTGGTAACTTGACTAAGGACCAAGTTTGGTTCTTGTCAAGTGAATCTAACTCATCTTTCATGGCCTTCTTCCACTGTATGGAATCTCTTACAGCCAACGCCTCTGAGTAAGATTCTGGCTCTCCATTCTCGGTCAGCAATAGATAATTTGCTGAAGGAGAATACCTGTTAGGAGGTCTCCTGATTCTGGTGGACTGTCTGATGTGTGGAGTAGCTGCCTTTGAACTCCCACTGTCTTCATCACTCCCACTATCTTCAGACATTCCTGTATCTCCTGAGCTCCCACTGCTCCCTGAGCCTCCAGCCGTCTCATCACAACCGACTGGTTGTGCTATGTCATCTTCAGTCATCCCTTCAAACACCACTTGCTGTTTGTTTTCCGGTTGCTTGCCTTTGCTTGTTCCTGCTGCAAGACCATCTTTATAAAGAGCATTCTCGTTGAAGGTGACATCTCTACTTCTGATAACCTTCTTGCTTTGGTTGTCCCAGAACCTGTAGCCCATGTCATCCGACCCGTACCCAATAAAGATACACTTCTTTGCCTTTGCCTCAAGCTTGTCACTATCTGCATCTCTGACTTTGACATAAGAAATACAACCAAAAACTTTCAAGTGATTAAGAGATACCTCACGACCTTTCCATTCCTCTTCTGGAATTTTGAAACCAATGGGAGATGAGGGTCCTCTGTTGATCAAGTATGCTGCTGTGTTCACTGCATCGGCCCAGAACATCTTGGGAAGTCCTGCATGCAATCTCATGCTTCTGGCCCTCTCATTCAATGTTCTGTTCATCCTCTCTGCAACACCATTTTGCTGTGGTGTTTCTGGAACCGTCTTCAGCATTCTGATCCCCTGTTCAGCACAATACTCTACAAACTCTGTGCTACTATACTCACCCCCATTATCACTCTTTAAACACTTAATTTTGAGATTTGTTTCATTCTCAACTGCAGCTTTGAACTTCTTAAAAGTGTTAAAGACGTCGGATTTATTTTTAAGAAAATAAACCCATACCTTCCGTGTAGAGTCATCAATGAATGTAACATAGTAGCGGGAACCTCCAATTGAAGAGACCTTTGTAGGTCCATAGACATCTGAATGAATCAACTCCAGCCGCTCAGTCTTGAGTTGTTGTCCTGTCTTCACAAAGGTTACCCTCTTTTGTTTGCCTAGAACACATGGCTCACAAAAGGTCAACTTTGAATTCTTCAAATCTGGGATTTTGCCCTTTGAAGACAACATCTTCATTCCATTCTCACTTATGTGCCCAAGTCTTTGATGCCACAAAGTGGAGATCCCTGTATCTTCAACTGCTGCGTTTGCTCCATCTGTAGACACTTCAACCATGTACAGTGTACCATGCTTTTGCCCACGAGCAATGACCAGCTTTCCCTTTGTTACCTTCCATTGCTTGTTGCCAAAACTAACGTTATGGCCTTCCTCATCAAGCTGTCCTACTGAGATCAACATCTTCTTCAGGTCTGGAATATACCTGACATCTTTCAGCCTCCAGGTTGTACCCAAAGTGGTACTGAGATCAACATCCCCAATACCCGTGATCTCCAGGGATTTATCATCCGCCAAACGAACTCTTCCGCCGTAGGGCCTGAAATTTTTCATCAAATCCCTGCAATGACAAGCATGAAACGACGCACCTGAATCCATGATCCAGGACTCAACTGAATTCTCAACGCTGCAAATTAGAACATCTTCATAATCCTCTGCCACATTCACCTCCTTCTTGCCTTTGTCTGCTGGGGCTTTTGGGCACTGATTTCTGAAGTGTCCATTCTCCTTGCAATTCCAACAATTGATGTCCTTCCTGTTCTTGGATTGACCCCTCTTCCTCGACTTTGATCTTCCCTTCTTGTTACCTCCTTTAGTGGATTTTCTGCCCCTGTCTTCAGTACTCAACAAACTATTGGAGCTATCCCCCGAACTTCTCCTCCGGATATCCTCACCAAGGATTAAGTCACGAATACCTTCAAAGGTAAGCTTAGTGGTTCCAGCCGAACTGCTAACTGCTGTGACTGTACCGGACCAACTATCGGGCAAAGATGATAACAAAAGTAGTGCTTGAACTTCATCATCGAATTTAATCTCAACCGAGCCTAACCTGGATATGATTGAATTAAACTCGTTGATGTGATCTGTCACGGATGCACCTTCCTTCATTCTTGTATTCACCAACTGTCTGATTAAGAAAACCTTGTTGGCCGCTGAGGGTTTCTCGTACATGTTGGATAACGCCTTGAGCAGTCCAAACGTTGTCTTCTCGTTGACGATGTTGTAAGCAACGTTTTTCGCCAACGACAACCTCACCACACCAAGAGCCTGTCGGTCCAACAAGTTCCACTCCGCCTCCGCCATCGTCTCTGGCTTGTTCTCAGACAAGGGTAGATGAAGCTTTTTCTGGTAGAGATAATCCTCGATTTGCATCTTCCAGAAAGCGAAATCTTGACCATCAAATTTATCGATCTTAACCTTCCCTTCGTCAGCCATAGCTCTGATACCAGTTGTTAATTATCACGATTAGGCTAAGATAAACGATAAATTTAAAGCAAGAACACAAGAATTTACGTGGTTCACGCAAT